TCATTAGAGAAATGCAAATCAAAACTACAATGAGGTATCACCTCACACCAGTCAGAATGGCCATCATCAAAAAATCTACAAACAATAAATGCTGGAGAGGGTGTGGAGAAAAGGGAACCCTCTTGCACTGTTGGTGGGAATGTAAATTAATACAGCCACTATGGAGAACAGTATGGAGGTTCCTTAAGAAACTAAAAATAGAACTACCATACTACCCATAAATCCCACTACTGGGCATAAACCCTGAGAAAACCATAATTCAAGAAGAGTCATATACCACAATGTTCATTGTAGCTCTATTTACAATAGTCAGGACATGGAAGAAACCTAAGTGTCCATCGACAGATGAATGGATAAAGAAGATGTGGCACATATATACATTGGAATTGTACTCAGCCATAAAAAGAAATGAAATTGAGTTATTTGTAGTGAGGGGGATGGACCTAGAGACTGTCATACAGAGTGAAGTAAGTCAGAAAGAGAAAAACAAATACCGTATGCTAACACATATATATGGAATCTAAATATAAATAAATTAATTAAATGGTTATGAAGAACCTAGGGGCAGGACAGGAATAAAGACCCGGATGCAGAGAATGGACTCGAGGACACAGGGAGGGGGGAGGGTAAGCTGGGATGAAGTGAGAGAGTGGCATGGACATATATACACTACCAAATGTAAAATAGATAGCTAGTGGGAAGCAGCCACATAGCACAGGGAGATCAGCTCGGTGCTTTGTGACCACCTAGAGGGGTGGGATAGGGAGGCTGGCAGGGAGACGCAAGAGGGAGGAGATATGGAGATATATGTATAGCTGATTCACTTTGTTATAAAGCAGAAACTAACACACCATTGTATACCAATTATACTCCAATAAAGATGTTTTAAAAAAAATATGATTTGTCCATTAATTTTTTACTTTGCCAATTAATAACACAATTAAAATGAAGAATTTATACTCTTGGACAGGCCAAGTAGCATAGCATCAAAATGCTAAAGTAAAAACGGTGAGAAATAAAAGATACTGACAGACACTTATTGGTAGTAATAGATTTTAACACATAGCCATCAGATTATGATAAAGAGATAAAATATGAATAAGGACATAAAAGAATATGATTAAGAATGTTGAATAATTGGCTATATATTTTTTAACATATTTACTTTTTATATTTATTTTTGGCTGTGTTGGGTCTTCGTTGCTGTGCGCAGGCTTTCTGTAGTTGCAGCTAGTGAGGGCTACTCTTTGTTGCGGTGCGCAGGCTTCTCATTGCGGTGGCTTCTCTCTTGCAGAGCAAGGCTCTAGGTGCGTGGGCTTCAGTAGTTGTGGCTCGCAGGCTCAGTAGTTGTGGCGCACAGATTTAGTTGCTCCGTGGCATGTGGGATCTTCCCAGACCAGGGCTTGAACGCATGTACCCTGCATTGGCAGGCAGATTCTTAAATACTGTGCCACCAGGGAAGCCCTTGGCTGTATTTAGATGTTTATGGATTATATAAAAATACATCTTAAATACTCACAAGGAAAATTTATAAAAATAATATCTTTTTCTTTAAATGTAGAAATTTTGCAGGCTTGCTCACAAAACAACCCAGTTACTTTACAGTGTCTATATTTGGAAGATAGAGGAATTTGGAATTAAAGGAGATACAATTATCCTTTTAAGAATAAATGTTAATCTGGACTTCCCCGATGATCCAGTGGTTAAGACTCCGCACTTCCACTGCAGGGGACGCAGGTTCGATCCCTGGTTGGGGAGCTAAGATCCCACGTGCCACGCTGTGAGGTCAAAAAAACGAAGAAACAAACAAAAAAGAATAAATGTTAATCAAACATAATAAATTAAGACAAAAAGATGCAATGTCACTTCAAAGAGACCATATGATTCCCAGGACACTAAGAGCTAGCCATGATCCTACTGAATATATTAATATTTCCAAAGAAAAATTGTGTTGATCCAAAGGGGAGCTAGTTCAACCAAAAAAGAGAAAAATATAAAGCAAGTGTCAGAGGGCACACCTTGGCTCAGCTCATCCAGGGGAAAATAGAGCCTCACCCAGCTAGACTTAGGTAATATAAACTATTGGCAAGACCATTCTTCTCATGAAGGTGGAAGTATGGTTACCTTAGCCTGATTTTGTTCTAATTTCATGCACATCAAACAAGAACCTTTTGATTTGGCCCTTTGTGTATAGGTCTATGTACAGGGTGATTGTGCATCAAGGGAGCTGTGTCACAATATGGTTAATAAATAGGAATTCATTCCTGAAATGGCTGCTCTAGGGTTGGAAAAGTAAGGTTCCTGAACCTTATAGGATATTAAGGCTACAAGAGGAGAGTCCGGAAGTTGATATGCATTATATTTAAGTAAAGCAAGTTACACAACATAAGTTGCTCTTATTCACTGCTGTGCCTTGGTATTCAGAGCAGGTTTTGGTATCTATGGGGCACCTAAATATTTGCTGAAGGAATGAAATATGTGGGGAAGAACAGAATCACTTAACAAATGGGAAAATGGTTAATTATTTTACATGCACTAAAACACATAGCGTATAGATTACAGAGTTAATTCTTTCTTTTCTTTTTTTTGAAGTTTAGTTGACTTGCAATATTATATTAGTTCCAGGTGCACAGCGTAGTGATTCGATGTTTTTTAAAAATATTTATTTATTTTCCTTTTTTTTTTTGGCTGCGTTGGGTCTTAGTTGCGGCACACGGAAATTTTGTTGAGGCATGTATGATCTTTTTCATTACAGCATGCAGTCTGCTTGAGTTTCTCTCTAGTTGTGGCATGGGCTCCAGAACACATGGGTTCTGTTGTTTGCACATGGGCTTAGTTGCCCTGAGGCATATGGGATCTTAGTTCCCCGACCAGGGATCGAAACCGCATCCCCTGCATTGGAAGGGAGATTCTTTACCACTGGACCTCCAGGGGAGTCCCAGTGGTTCAATATTTTTATAGATTATGCAATGTACAAATTTATTATAATATCATTGAGTATATTCCCTATGCTGCCTGTTACATCGCTGTGACTTTTTTATTTTATAACCTCAAGCTTGTGCCTCTTAATCCCCTTCATTTATTTCACCCAACCCCCTGCCACCCCCATTCCTTTCTGGCAACTACTAGTTTGTTCTCTGTATCTGCAAATCTGTTTCTGTTTTGTTATATTTGTTCATTTGTTTTGTTTTTTAGATGCCATATATAAGTGAAAACATACAGTATTTCACTTAGCTTAATACCCTCCAGGTCCATCCATGTTGTCATAAGTGGCAAGGTTTCGTTCTTTTTTATGGCTGAGTAATATTCCACTGACTCTCTCAATAGATAGATAGATAGATATAGATAGATAGATATATTCTTTATATATATATGTGTATATATATATATATATACATAAAGATATATATATCTTCTTTATCCATTCATCTGTTGATGGACACTTAGGTTGCTTTCATATCTTGGCTGTTGTAAATAAAGCTGCAATGAATATTGGGCTGCATATATATTTTTGAATTAGTGTTTTCAGTTTCTTTGGATAAATACCCAGGAGTGGAATTGTTGGATCATATGATAGTTCTATTTTTCATTTTTTGAGGAACCTCCACCCTGTTTTCATGGTGGCTATACCAAAGAGTTAATTTTAAAAATAGAAAAACTGAAAGAAATATCTAAATGTTGATAGTACTTTTGAAGTGGCAATAGTTTTGTAAGTTTAGAAGGTGAGGAGAAATCACAAAGGATAACAACAAGTCTGAGTGAATAAATATTAAAAACTTATGTTAGCAAACTATCGATATTACAAATTTAATAACCAGAATTCAGTCAGACAACATGGGGAAGTGTTTGCAGGAAATGTAATGGCCAAAGGCCTGATATCTTTATTATGTAAAATGTTCATGCAAATTGATAAGAGAAACACTAAAATTCCAAAAGCATAAACAGACAACTCACAGAAAAGAAATTAAAGCTAGTAAATAAACACATGGAAAAATATTTGAGCTAGTAATCAAAGACATTCAAAATAAAGCAGTCATTTTTCTAAAAGATTTTAAATTAGCAAAGACAACATAAAAATTTATTTTTGTAGAACCCAGTGCTGGTTAAGATGTTATAAAAATGGTATTCTCAGATTTTGTTGATGATATTTTATTTATTGATACCTCCTTTTTGGAAAACAGTTTGGCAATATAAAGAGCCATAAAATATTTATAGCCTTTGACCCAGTAATTTGACTTCTGGGAGTCTCTCCTGAGGAAAACGAATCCAAAATATGGAAAAAATTAAATGCCCAAGAGTAAATTGGGAAACACTAAACATCCCACAAAGTGGGAATGATTAAAATGTTGTGGTAGAGCCACTGGGTAGAAGACTACATATTCATTTATAATCAAGGGCATAGAGACCATGCAGCCACATGCTTTAATAGTAAGTGGAAACCCAATAAACACTTAGATATAAAAAGATGTGCAGAGAAGAAAATTGAAGCAAATGCACCCAGTTTTAAGTGGTTGATCTAGAATGGTGGGAGGACAAAGACCTTTTCCTTCATCTCCCTTTTTTGTGGTCATTGGTTGTCATTCAGCCTGTTCTTTTACCTGGATGCCAGTGGCATCCTCTTCTCTTCCCTGAGCTCCATGCCCAGCTTCCAAACCCCAGCCCATCTGTGTCAGTGCCACTCAAGCTCCAACTCGTTCAAGAAGCCTTCCCCGTCCTATCAGCCAAATGAAACACTCCCTTTACTCTGCTCCCAATGCTATATTTTAACATGTCTATTATAGCACATATACAGTGTGCCCTGTGTGGAAATGATATATGTGCAGTATGTGTCTGTTTCCACAACTAAAATTTTAACCCCCTAGAGGGTAGGAACTGTTGGATTTCCTTTTTTCTCTCCACAGCATAGGGCACAGTGCTTTGTCTGTATGGTATGCGCGAATAAATGTTAGTTGAAATGAATGTCATTGCACTGAAATGAACTACTTCTGATTCCCTGGCAGGTGGAGCTCATGAAGGTCTTCAGCACTTGGGTCCCTTTGGCAACATCCCAAACATTGTGGCAGAGTTGACCGGTGACAACATTCCCAAGGACTTCAGTGAAGACCAGGGCTACCCAGACCCTCCAAATCCCTGTCCAGTTGGAAAAACAGGTAGTGGGCATGCCCTTGGGTTCTCATGAAAGGTAGAGCCTTTGGGAGGAAATTAAAAATTCTAACATTGGCTGCACACGTTCAGAGAAATAGTATTTCTATTCCGATGAGCCCCTGTGTATCTGTATGTGGGTTGGAAAGGGAAGTTGATTCTAGAACCCTTGGTGAGTTCTGGTGTTCCGATACACCCACAGAGGACTCCCCTAGCCAAGGCTTTATCTTCTGTCTCTCTCCCTCTTTGGGAGTTGATGCTCTTTTCTGCACTGGCTCCAATTTTAATAAAAAGGGAGACGGATTTTCTTTTTTTGCCTCTTCTATGATACAATCGCTGCCCACTTTTAGTGTCTGGAACTTTTTAGTATGTGGATGATCCATGCTCATTTGTTTTCCTTACCTTCTCTTGACAATCGATATCTCAACTATGTTGTAACCAGTGAGCATCTATCCTGAAATATTTCTTTGGGGGCTGGGAGGCGGCATGAGAGAGAGGGGGCCCTGGAAGGGAAGAAGTTGGTTAAGGGAGAAGGTTGAAACTTTCCTTGCTCCTCATGTATCGCTCCCACTTTCCTACCACCCAATTCCAAAGAGAATGAATGGTGAGTGTGCTACACTTATGCTGGGCTTTGAGCGGTTTACCTTGGTGGTTCAGAGTAGTGGCTCTAGACTGGCGACTACTGGAATTCAAACCCAAGGTCAAGATATGTGACCTCGAACAAGTTAGTGAACCACTTGCACCTCAGTTTCCTTATTTGCAAAATGGGGGTTATTGGGGAATTACATGAAATTATCCATGTTAAACACTTGGTACAGCACCCAGCACAGAGTAAGGACTCATTAAATGCCATCCTGATTATAAATAGCTTTGCCACTAGTAAGAAATGAATCTCTTTCCTTGGGCTTGTACTCGCTTCCAGCAACAGAGTAGTCTTTTCCCCACAACCTAATAGTAATACTAGGTAGTATTTATTATCCCTACTTTACATATAAGGAAACTTAGAAAGTAACTTCACCAAGGTTATCCATGTAGCAAGTAGTTGAGCCAAGGCTCAAACCCGGATCTACCTGATTCAGGACTGTGCATGCAACCACCATGTCATGATGTCTTGCTCTGAAAATTCTGTCAGTATTGGCCCCTCAGCTTTTCTAAAACACAATACAGGCTCTCTCTGAAAGATATTCCTCTTTTCATTTAGGGCGAGATCTCTGTTTTCCATGCGGGACAGAGGCTTCAACCTGGGATGGAACAACCAGAGTATTTGGATGTGGCCAAGCTAGTGCAGGGACGCTGGCCCAGGACCACAGGAAAATCTGAATCAGCCACCTTTTACTTGCTTGTGGGACTTTGGATGGGAAGGAAGAAAGGCCAGTTCAGGCTCCATGGGGATTTGGTTAAATTGATTCCATATCATATGATACAGTGGTTCTTAATATATAGTCCCAGCAATATCAGCATTACCTGAAACTTACTGGAAATGCAGATTTTCAGGCCCTACTCCAGACATATTAGATCAAAAGCTCCGGGGATAGGACCCAGAAATTCTTATTCTAACCTGCCTTTCATGTGATTCTGGAGCATACCAAAGTTTTGAGAACTGTTGTTGGTGAATGGAAAGAGAACCAGAGGTTGAGCCAAGAGATCTGAGTTTTTGTCCTAATCATAGTATGTCAGTTTACTTCCCTGGACCTCAGTTTCTTCATCTGTAAAATGAAGACATAGTCAGTGCCTTAAAAAAAATTCAGTGTAGTCCTAGCTTATCCTGAAAGAAAAGCAATATGTAGATCTATGTGATCAAGCAATAATTAGGAGCACTTAGGAGCTCCGAGATGGAGCAATCAGGGCGGTTTGATAGAGTTGGATAAAAGGACCCAGCTCCCAGGACCTTTCTTGTCTGAGATTACCTGCCATTTCCTTCCCTGTCTTTTCATTAAGCTAACACACGCTGCCATGTGCAGACTGCCTGACCGCTCTTGCTTTGCTATCCCTTTCCTCCATGTTAATTGCTCTAGATGAAGTTAGATAAATAGTTCAGTGAGAAGTGGGGAGCCACGCCAGAGCCACACTGGGATTTGTTCCAAATGCTACTGCCTTCCTCAGGAGCTTCATGCTGTTAAGGGCTGAGAGACTGGATGCTTAAAGCTGCTGGAAGGTGTCAGAGCAGTCTCAAGAGACCAGACTACCTGACTGATTGTATTAGACCCCCTTTAGTACTGACTTTGATGCCTCCCTATCCCTTCGAAAGGAAGTCTCTTTCATTCTAGTCCTGCACAAAATTCACATCCCTCTCCAGCGCCCCCCCCCCCTTTTTTTTTTTTGCGGTACGCGGGCCTCTCACTGTTGAGGCCTCTCCCGCTGCAGAGCACAGGCTCTGGACGCGCAGGCTCAGCGGCCATGGCTCACGGGCCCAGCCGCTCCGTGGCATGTGGGATCCTCCCGGACCAGGGCACGAACCTGCGTCCCCTGCATCGACAGGTGGACTCTCAACCACTGCGCCACCAGGGAAGCCCCCCAGCCCCCCTTTTTAAAGCTGTTGTCTAAAACACATTAGAGACAGAAAAAAAAATGGCTTATTTTCAGAGTATTGTGTCTATTAATGATAGGGCTTAGGTAAAAGCAGCAGCCAAGAGGGATAACCTTTCTTGGGTTTGAATGGAAGACCTGCTTTATTTCAAAGAGCATTGATAATATGAACTGTCATTTAAAGAAAGATGGTGAGGAGGGAACTAAAACATGGAGGAAACCTATTATGTGCCAGATGCTCTATATATGATCATCTCTATTCCTCATAGCTACCCTATAAGGTAAGGATTTGATTATTCCCATCTCATAGATGAATAAATGGACTTAGACTAAGTTAACTTTCCCAAGAAACTAAACCCATCTATCACTGATGAGTTAGGATTTGAACCCTGAGCTTGGGTCTAGCTTTCTGACTCCAAGCTTACCCTGTTACCACTACAACACACAACATCAAGTACTGTCTAATAATTATTGTTCTTATATAATGGACTTTTGCCAAGAAGCCAGAATCATTTCTAAAGAGCCCACCCAAGAGAAAACAGAGTGAGTCATGTGGAATGGAAGTATACCAGTGAAGGAAATACTTGCCGTTATGACAGTTAAAAAATAATAGTGGCTTAACACAATAGAAGTTTATTTCTCGTTTGTGTGAAGTCCTGCCAAAGGTGGGTGAGGGTGTGGTAGGGGTGGATGGTTCAGCAATGCAGACTGCCATCTTTCATCTTTGCACTTGACATCTACAGTTACCCTGGTCAGCAACATGTAGCAAGCAGACCGACAGAAGGTGGGGGGTTGGGGAGAGAAGGAGAGGGGGTCATATAGAAGGTTTCTATGGGCCAGGCCTGGAGGTGGAGTACATCACTTCTGCCCACATTCCATTGGCCCAAACCCAGGCATATGACTCCACCTGATTGCATAGCAAGGCTGGGAAATTAGCCATGTGCCAACAGGGAATAGGAAGCGGGTTTGGGGAGCAGCCAACCAGTCTCTGCCATGGGTAGGAGAGGAGTGGGAGTCTGGGATGAGCAAATCCCAGAAGGAAAGTGACTTAGAGTGACTGATGTGAATAGATTCTGACCTTTGGGTGCCTAGTTGTTTTTAATAAATTAACTCTTAGAATAACAATAGATGTCGTGGCTGTTCCTCAAAAACCTTTTGTTGTTTGCAGTAGATGATGGATGTCTAGAAAACACCCCTGACACAGCAGAGTTCAGTCGAGAATTCCAGTTACACCAGCACCTTTTTGATCCAGAACATGACTATCCAGGCTTGGGCAAGTGGGTAAGTCCAATCTTAATTGCTAATAGGTCTTATACTCTGGTACTCTGAAGGTACTGATGGTAGAGATGAGCAACATGGGTGGGGAGAAAGAAGGAAAATTGCTTAGAAGCTGATTTTTTCCAGAAATCTCTGGTTGAGAGGGACTTTAATTCCAAACCACACTCACTGTCTAGGGCTCAATACACCAATCCATCCAAAGAGTCAGGGACCTGAACCAGTCTCATCAGCTGTAGTCCCAGAGGCTTCTACTCTGGTCTACTCCATAGCCTGTGTCACAACATGTCCTAAAGTCTCATCAGTGTTTCCTGCAGCTCTTATAGGAAGTATATGATATTTTTGTTTTAAAGAAAAAGGATACTAAGAAAATTTGCAAGTTTTATCTCTAGACTGAGGGAGGTGATCTCTGCAGAAATAAGGGAAGACCATGCCAGAAGCTGAGAAACAGACGTGTAATCCTGCTCTATGGAAAGAGAAGATAAATTCCAAAATGTGTAGCAGTGGACTTGCTGTCAATACCAGGCAAGAATCTGTAACTGTCAGTTAAGGAAATTGTTTATAAGCACTTAGAAGAGAAATCATGACCATTTGGAGTAGGTTTGCTAAAAAACAAGGTTTGTCAATCTAATTGTATTCTTCTACTTGCCAGCATTATTCATTTACTTGCCAGCTTGATGAGGGAAATGAAGTGAGCATGGTGCAATTGGACTTCAGCAAAGTGTTTGATCAGCTCTTTCATGATCTCCTGTTTGAAGAAGTGGAGGGATACAACCTAGGCAGGAGAACATTATCAGAAGGGGGTTTCTTAAAGAGTCTGTGTCAAGAGGGAGAGCGATTTCACATGGTATCCTGTGTGTCTTAGCGCTATCGCACTCCACATTTTTATAAATGTTTGTAATAAAAACTATAGAACGTGAACTTATCAGATTCTTCAGAAAGACACGAAGTTGGAAGGGAGAGCACTGAATGACAGAGTTGGGATTCAAGAAGATCCTAACAAGCTGGAACAATGAATTGAACAAGATCACAATTGAGTGGAGAGAGATCTGTCTTCCTGTGGCTTGGATGATGTAATCAAATGCTGAAGCCATGTGAGCAAAGTGGAAAAATACTAAGAAGTGTTAGTTCACATATACATAGGTGGTCATTACGTCTGTGGAAGGAGTGAGTGAATGAGGAATGAGGAGATACTCCTAATTGCCTAAGCCCCTCTAAAATTATAGGTCTCTTCTCAGCTCATTACTGGCAGCCGGCTTGCTGCCTACTTTACTAGGAATACTGTGATCTCAGAACTAAATTCTCTCACTTCCTTTTACATTGTTTCAGAGAGAGAAGTCCTTCCTCATTAATAACCACTTTCATTTTTCCATCATCGAAGCAGTTTGATTCCCTCTCCTGTCAACATGCACATGTTTCCTGTCTTAAAACAACAAAGCAACAATATGCTCTAAGTTAATTTTGCTTTTTCCATTATGCATTATTCTATTTCTCTTCTTTTTCATAAGCAGTTCTGTTAGGGAGAATTTGTAGAGCCATCCTGAAGCTTACTAGCAGTGTTTAAATATGTTGCGTTACATAGGCAATCATCTATAGGTTCTTGAATAGGAGACTGAAATCATGAAAGTCTTCTATAAAAGTTACTAGGGTGGCATAGAGAATGATGAAGTATATAGAGAAGAGACTAAAGGCAGGAAAAAAATAGAAAAGGTAATTCTAGTTATGAAGGCTGTGAACATAGAGAATTTAAGTGAATCTCACCAACACAATGAGAATCCAAGACATTTCAAAGGGGGCCAGGGAACTGACTAGAATTGGTATATGGCATATACATAGCATGAGGAGGAAAAAAGAGCTATATCAGGTTTATAAGAAATGGAAGGTATGAACTTTTCCTCTGAGGGAATTTAAAAAAAAAAAAAGAAAGGAAGAAGAGAGGGAGGTAGCAGAGAAAGAAGGAAGCAGAGACAGGGTAGGAAAAAGTAGAAGACCACAGCAGAGCACTGGGAAGCAATCCATAAGAGATGAGCAGAAGTATTGCCAAACTGAAGCAAGGGCCAGGATGGAGCCTGCTTTGTTCCAGGCACTGTGCTAGGCGCTTGATATACAGTAGTCATCAACATGGTAGTGGTCTTCGATGAGCTTACCATCTTGTGATGAATTGCATGAAAATAAAATGAACCCAACTTAGCACTGTTCAGCTTCCTGATCCAGCTATACCATGAGTATACCAGGTTAAATTACTGGGGGAAAATGGAATAAAAGGGTAGAGGAAGACCCAGGACTGAGGACTCACGTGGTCAATTGTATGATAACAATTGAGGACGTCAAAGACACTAAAAAAGGGCAGCACTGAATCCTAGGGTGACATGTCTACCTTGCATGACTGATAGGCCGGAAATGAGGGAAAAGATGCAAGGGGGAAATGGAGAACAGTCTGAGTGAGGGCAGAGAGCCCAACTGAGGAAGTGGGAGAGATGGAAACTTCTCTGTTGCCAACTTTCCTCATCTCTTCTTGAAAACCTTTACAGATTTCCCTCATCACGTTCCACTCACTCCCAGCACTCCAGTACAAGGCCAGCCACCATCTCTCATTCTTTTCTTGCTTCCTTCTCTAAATACTGATTTGTTTTCTCTCAGTCACTCCCATTCTTTGTCTACATCAGAGCTAAAGACTAGAAGTTAGGACTATTACAGATCAATGACCAGGAACAATGTTTACACACCTTTCTCATCTGTAATTATGTGTCTGTTTAAACTTAAGTTTCCTTCATTTATTTTCTCATTACCACCCAGCAGTCAAACATGATTTTGCTTGATCTTCGCATGGAAGTGTGAATTGACTATGTCTTGCTTTTGCAAGCTGGGGTCCCGAAGCTTTCCTTAGTGTTTATAAAGAATGATGGTCTCAAGCTTGTCTTAAGCTCCACTACCCTTTAAGTTAACAAAGGAATTATCTTTCACAAGAGACCTGCACACAAGACCCTTATTCCTTAGTTGCTAGTAATGTTTCCCTGTCTTCGATATTAGCTGGAGCTCAGCTGGGTTTTGAGCAGTGATTCACATATTATAAATATCAGTGTCTGTCTAATTTCCTGCATTCCTCTCTCTTTGTTAATACATCAGGATACATTTATTAAATGCACATCATATGCCTTCCAGGCCCTGTGTTAGGTGATGGAAATACAAAGATGATGATAATAGTCATTGTATTTTATACTAAGATAGTAAATAGTCCTATTTGTTGAGCACCATACTGTGAGGCAGACACTATGCTAAATACTTTACATGAATTATTTCATTCAGTCTGCCCTTCCCTATCATGCTCGTTTTATAGATGAGAAAATACAGGCTTAGGGAGTTTGAATAGCCTGCCCAATACCAAACAGCTGGTGATTGGCAGAGCTGGGATTTGAACCAGACCATTCAACTCTGAGAGTTCTGTAAAAACTGGATACATTCCTTATCTTTTCTTGGCTCATCCTTCATAGTGTGTCCTGTACAGTGGTCCTGTCGAGTCCTATCTAGGACTGGTTGTCTTTCAGACGACGTGTGTATCCACAGCATTGAGCAGCCATATCAAAGGCTGGCTACCATAGGTGTCAGCCATCTCCCCCTCCACACATTCATTGCTGAGTGTTACTCGCTTAGGAAAAAGTTGTCTCGAAAGCAAATGTTTCTCCTTTCCAAGTGCTTTCCACATCTTTTCATCAGCAGCTCAGGTCTTTAATCGGATGCAGTTGAACGGAGCCATGAACCTGAGCCATGGGAGAAATGAGACACAGGACCCTCTGCCTTTCTTTATCTTTCATGCCCTCAATGTGTCTGAAGAGTCGCCTGCTCTTCAGTTTGGCTTTCTCTCATGCTTCCGTGTCATTAGACATGAGCTATGCCTTTCTGATGTGTTCTTAGTGTTTCCCTCGGGAGGCCCATGAAGCCAGTTTGTCCCAGAATTGGTGGTGACTTGGGCAACGTGGTGTCTGTCAAGTTTCTCCAGTGTAAAATCAGTATCTTTCCCTTCGAAATTAATCGTTGATCTATGGGGATTTACTTCAAGACTGTATAAATATTCTGTACCCATTAAACTTTCAACTAACAATTTTAGAATCCATTGATGACGCTCACCAGAATCAATGATAACTATGGTAGTCGTAAATGGTGATTTTTTTAAAACTCTACTATTCTTTCGGCATTTCTTGGTTGGCATTCTCTTCTAAGCAAGATTTTTTCCCTGCTCCCCCCATTTATTTATTTGTTTTAAAATTTATTATCAGTATAGATTCATTGTTTCCTATTATTATTTATTTTGCTGTGCAAACTGTCCTAGATTTAGCCAGTGGGAGTCTCTGCAGGCTGGCTTTTCTTTCCTTTCACTATGTCTCATCAATTTTTTGAGTACTTTCTGGCCCAATTAGATATCCCAACTTCATTCATCCTTGTACTTTCCCTGCCCTAGCCCTAGAATCAGACATTTCTCTAAGAAGCCTCTCTGGTTCCATTTAGGAATGGAATTTGAAGCCAAGATCTGGGCAGTTGTCCAAAATCTTGATGACGCCATGGAAAGCTCTCTCCATGAACTCAAACCTGCTACTCACCTGGAAAACAGGCTCACTGCTCCCCCCTCCCCACCCCACCTATAGGGAATGGGTGTGAGGAGAGGGGCTGGTTTCTTCTCATTCGTTTTTGTATACTTCTTGCACCCACCTGCCAGTCCCTGCCTTTAAATCCATATGATAGCGGGGCTAATCGGCAATGCCAAGGCCACTGTCAGGCGGGGGTTGGAAAGCATCCTGCTAATCCTAACCTGTGCTCTTAGGGAATCACAGGGACCATCTTTGAGAGGAAGACTTGACAGACCTTTGCATTTCTTTTTGAATGAAGCCTCTTATGAGTATAACCTGTCCCACGACCTTCTAAAGGGGAGTAACTAAAATGCTGCTGTCTTTAACCCTGCTGGCGGCACAGTGGACCTCTGCCATGGCCGATTGTCTGTCCCACCCCATGGTACCAGCTCGTGGGCCCCTGTGCCCTCCCTCCCGCTCAGGCAGCTGATCCCGGTGCTACACATGAAGAAGCCTCTTTCCTGGCCCCCTATCTCCCAACCCCCTTCCCCAGCTTTAGCACGAACTCCCAGGACATTCTCTTGCATCAGGAATTGTTTCATCCACAGAAAGGCAAGTCCAGACAATGGGAATGAGCTTCACAGCAATATCCTCATTCCTCGAGTGAATGATCTGCAAGTCCGTCTTTTCTCCCTTCTGAGATTAAACTGATCAGTTCTCCAAATGAGCATGAGATGGCGGCTGTGGCCAGGGCCGGCCTTTGGGGCTGTGGAGGCTCCTTGACGCCCTGGCACGGCCTCCGTGCATAGCTGAGGTTGGGCAAGAGATGCACGTTGTAAATTGTGGGTGGAGTAGATTTTAATGAACATGAAAACTATGAAGCTCATTCTTGGCGTTTGTCATTTTCATTTGCAAATCTATCATGAAAAAAAATTTGATATCCAGACAGCTCAGGAGATACTAGGATTGTAGAAACTTGTTCCTTACCAGAACTCTGTCGTCTCCTTTTTTTTTTTTTTCCAATCAATGTCAGGGTATTTTATTTAGAGTAAGATGAATCACCTCTTTTATACATTATCTCCCTTCTGATTAAAAAATCAAATAAAACAACCACCTAAGGAAGCCCCCAATTCCCCTTCTCCCGTTCTCCCTCAGGTTAAGTGTTCTGTCTCTTGTAATCCCAACAGAATGGAAATCTGTTCAGCGTGCGTCTGATATTCTAGAGCTCATGTAAGTCCACTACGTGTTTGAAATCTGGTAATATGAGGCAACACTTACACAAACTGTGGTAACGGAGCCTGTCCCCACCGCCCAGCCCCAACACAACTTTCCTTCTGCCAAGAAGTTTTTTGGCAGTTTTTAAAAGGTTCACTCTATTAAAAATGTTATAGACCGAATGGTTTTCCGATTGCCTTGACTGGGGGCACTGACTCAAGCCACAAGAGGAAGGGTCACAGAAGTCAGGTGTCTCGTTTGCTTACACAGAGGATTGTTACTAATAGTCAGACCCTACTCTAGAGAACGATTTATGTGTACAGTTCATAAAAAGGGAGTTAGATACCAAAGTAAAATAAGATAAAATTGTTTGTTTTAAACAAAGCCTGTTCAAAGTGAGGAGATGGGTCTCCAGTGCCCCTTGTGTGTTAGAATGTCGTATTTTCTTGTTTATGTGACTGTTGATGACACTGGTGTGCCTCGGGGCATTGCAGAGCACTTTATTAAAAACTGTACAACCACTGGCTTTTCTCTTGTGGTCTATCTTTCTGCCACAACATTCCTTTCATCTGGCTTCGTTTCCAAAATATGTATATGCAAATATCCAGGGGGACACACCAGGTGTAAAATAGACATTGACCAAATGTGATCCATACTTCTGCATTTGTGTTTTCTTTTCTCCCCACTGTAGAACAAGAAGCTCCTTTATGAGAAGATGAAAGGAGGACAGAGACGCAAGCGGAGGGTAATGCCTGGCTGGCTGGCGGGCTGTGGGGATGCCTGGAGCTTTCTGAGCGGGGGCAGTTGACAGGCCGTTAGCCTCAGTGGTTGGAAGGTAGCAGAATCCTTTCACGTGCTGAACAGTGGTCCCAAGTGACAAGGGCCATGCCTAAAAAGTCTGCCCTTGGTTTCTGCGATGTCCTCCCCAAGCTTTAGCATGTGATTTTTAGTGGCATGCTAAGTTTTGTGGCAATTCTACCAGCTCCATTGCACTCACAAAATGTCAATTGCATCCCTACCATGGGTATAGGGACGCGGGGAGTACAGGAGGGTATGTCTTTCCTCAAAGGGTCTGTAGGCCACTGGGGGAAACTGCTCACACCTCTGCATCAATTATATAAAAACTCGAGACAGGAGCCAGGAAGTGTTGAACTGCCTGCTCCAGGCAGTAATTTTGAAGGAATGTAGGGGCAGAAAATGAGATGAACAAACCTCATTCCTTCTACATACTTTTTTCCCTTGCTCTAGCCAGATTGATGTAAAAATTCACTAGATCCATTTTATTTGTTCGCTGACTGGTGAATTTACTGCAGGCTTAGTTATTAACCGTCTCTGGGCTGCCCAAGGTGCTGTGCATTTACCCACTACAGTGATGCCTCTTGTAAAGCTGATGTCAATTTGCTTTGGGTTTACGATGCATTTTATGGTGTTGAGACTGAACAAGTGGTCGGTGGCTGGTGCCTTACTAGACAAAACCACCTGCCATTTGTTTTGGATCAGATGGAGGAAAAAGTTAAAGTCCTGCTTATTACATAGCAAAGTGCTACCAGGGAGTAACCGTTTTAGTTCAAATATACAAACCAAACTGTATACCCAAGGCTACTGACTGTTTATGTAGAATAGCAAGTGCCTGGATCCTGGCAAAATTTGGGAATCTGGACAGTGGTAACTGTGGTCATTCTGAATAGTTTTGCCGAATCCAGGCAGAGAATGCTTTAAGAGGGGTGGATTTTCTGGACTCAACATTAATTCCTCAGGTCCCTGAAACAGAAAGTTCCAAGCCCCTGTGCTGCCTGACAAAATACAGAAGACGCGTGGCCAATTGTCTATTTGAGAAGCAAAGTTTTGCTTGTAAGCAGATCTTCAGAAAGTTAACGGTGTTATTAGGGGTTTTTCTTCGGTGATTACAGTTTCTAGTGGCAGATGATGGCAGGAAGGATCCGAAAGGTATAATGCGGTCTTGAGAGAACATCAAGAAATTCTATTCCAAGAGCTCAGGATACCCGTAATTTACCAGTAAGATGGCTTGAGCATCTCCCCATGGCACAGCAAGGATATTTCCAAATCAGACCAATGACCGTACCAAAATGAGTAACTTAGCATGAAGCTTTAATCGCCTCTCCTTCCTCGCTCACTATTCCTTCTGCCCTGACTCAGTTAATGACTGTGGGTCATGATTTAGGTCATTTTTCCATGAGACCAGTGACTACCAAACCTCAGGACTCTGGCTAGAACACATGTTATAAAGGATTTTACTTTGGCTTCAACTTCCTCCACATAGGAAAGGCTTAGAGTTTATGAAAATGACGATCACTTTGACCCAGAGGTACCAAGTTCTTCCTACTCTCAGGCGTCTATTGATACAAAGATCCATGCTCATGCCGTTAACCAGGGGCCTTTCAGGTCTGGTGGAGAAACAGAACTTGCCTCCCCTGTCATCAGGCCTCAGGTGGTGTTCCCACCTTGACTGAAGATTTGAAACGACTCCCTCAAGTGTGCGAATCAATATAAAGAAATTATGGGCTTTTGTGAAAAATCAAGGCTTTCTCCAACTGAGCTCAGCATCTGCTGTGGTTTCCAGAGGTCACTAGAAGCAGGGATCCCATCCTAATGGTTCTGCGGTTGTGAAGTGGCAATAATGTTCTCTGTGTAACCTAGACAGTCTCTCACCCAAGGGAGAAGGTAAATATCTAAGTGCCTTGTCATTATTATTACTCTTATGTGTAGGATTCAATACTCATAGACATTTATCAAGAAAGTTCAAGCCCCGTGTGCTGCAACGAAGACCCAGTGCAGCCAAATAAATAAATAAATATTAAAAAAAAAAATACTACTGTAGTTTAAATTAAAAAAAAAAAAAAAGCTCAAGTGATTGCTCCTGTTACTTCCTCATTACTTCACTTTCCCCTGCCCTCTATCATTTGGCATGTTCCGGGTCTGGGCCAAAGGACTTGCTGCCATGACAGTCCCTTGCCAGGAGGGATTCTCCCCAGAGTTACAACAGAGCCTCAGGTGGTTTTATGCAAATTTCTATACTTGCTCACATCTGGTTGAATTCCTAGTTGCTTCAGAGTAAAAGGTCAATTCACCTTTTAAATGACTTTGCAAACTAACTCTTAAGATGTATCTTGTTGATATTTGAGATCTAGTATTATTTAAAGAGTTTATCAACCCTTTATTCCCATATTTGATAACATGAATATCTCATATCCTTTTAAAATATATTAGAATTTTTAGTAAAATATATTTTTACGAAAAAACAATCAAAATATAATCCTGAATACACTTTTTCAGTTCACACATGCTCCACCTAGCCAGAGATTCTGATACGATTCCCTGGGATAGGCCAGGCCATTCCAGTTGACAATTCCTGATATAAAAAGGTATTTTAGTTATTTAAAATATTTTAAAGATGCTTCCCAGCAAAGTACTGTTATTTGGTGACATCTCACTTTTCAGATATATGAGGACATGGCATACTTTGTAATTCTCAGCTTGTTGGTGATGCATTTTTGCACAATGTGTGGGACCTTTCATCATTCATGCTTTTACCTGTCAGAATGTGGAAGGACATTCATTAAATACTAAACTCAGATTCCAGGCCTTGTCTTTTGGAGAATGTCTGCTCACCCTTCGAAAGTTATGGCAGACAATGTCCCGTGGGCAAGAGAGAGCCCCTGCAAAATGCCTCCATGCATCCATGGGGACTAGAGGTGTGATGGGATTGCTGATTATTTGTAACTACAGCTTCTTTCTTATGTTTTTGTTCAGTTATTGGCAGGCAACTTCAATAAACAAATGTCTTCCAAAACTTCTGAATTTTTTCTGCTTGCTAAATACTGTGCTGTAAAGCTCCAATTACTAGTTCAAATCCAAACCTCAAAACATAGATACGGATTAGAGAAGGAATGGAAAAACCTTGACTGATGCAGAATACCAACAGCTGAAAAGGATTTCAGGTGGTGGAGTCTTGAGTCAAAACTAAAGGAGCTTTCTGCGTAACTTCCTTCTTTTCTTCGTGTTTTGAATTTGACTGAGGGAAGGTGAAAATGATTGCTAGAGCCCCTGATGCGTCCTCTTTAAGTAGAATACTGCTTTGAAAGAATCAGTCACAGCAACAGGTGATCTGTGACCACTCTGCAGATACTAATTCCCATCTGGCCCTGCTCTGTCATCGTCTTTAGAACATTCTTCTTGTAAAATGATTTAATGCAGTTCACATTCTCTCTCCCCTAAAATAAGGCCATAGGATAATAATTCTGTTTCACGTGAGGCTTTGTATCTAAGTTAATAGTGAGGGTTTCTTAGCTGGTTCACTTCAAATCTTTATGCCAAAACAGGGGATGGAACCCAATTGTATGTGTTACTTAGCTGTGTGAAATAGTTGTGTGAAAGACAGAGACACCTCTGTCAGTCAATGTTTCTCTGGCCACTGAGGTATTGATTAGTGCACCGGAGTAATTATCTGGTAGGTAGTAGGCACCACTGTTACCTTGTTAACCCAATAGGCCAGAAACAATTCTTGTTCACTTCTTCTGTGCGATGTCTGTATCCGATGTCCACATATGACTCCGTGTATTTTTTTTCAGAGTGTCAATCCATATCTGCAAGGACAGAGACTGGACAATGTTGTGGCAAAGAAGTCAGTCCCTCATTTTTCAGGTGAGGATAAGGACCCAGAGTAAAGCGAAGATGTTGAGTGGAAACCCACACGACCTGACCCGTCAGACCTCCTTGTTGCTTATGTGCACTCGTTGTCAGAGCCCCTGTGAATGGCAGCATGTTTCTAATTTAGACAAGTATGGATGAAAAGCAGCTGTATTTTGATATCCTATTGTCCTTCACACTGATAGCTCTGCTTTCTGCTAAATTAGGATAAGAGCTTTTTTCCTTTAGATGTGGAGCTGCAGTGAGCATTAAAATTAAAACGTATGTGTCAATAACAATAAAAAGCAAATGAATGAAATGTCCTCCGATTTCTTACAGTTTAAAATGGTGTTTCGGGTGGCACTGTTTTGGCCAAGTCTGTAAAAGGCTGGCATTTGATTTTGATTATGTAGTTAATCCAGCCCTTGGGCATTATTACACACCAATAAAGAAGATTGTACCCAGGAGGAGCTGACACATTTCACTTGGCCGCATCTTAATAAATGTGTATGCAAGCGTGAGTATGTGCATTTCTTTTTCATTTAGAGCATTCTAAAAACTCTCTGCTTACTAGAACAAACTCACAGATATGATCTTATCTGATCTTAACAATAATACGGTGAAGTAAATGGCGGGGGGTATTATTATTCCCATTTTACAGATGGTGGGACTGAGACTCAGCTTCCACGAAAAGCTGAAAATGGCACAGTCAGTATTCGGGGACTAAGGTCTGCTGACTCTGAGTTTTTATTCAGCAAACATTGTTTCTACCATGTGCCAGGCACAGGGCTGGGCTCTGGCGGGGGGCACACTGGGGACTCACACTGACACCAGCCAGGTCCTCAGGCAGCAAAGCATCCAATCCATGAGCTCTGAGTAGGTCAGTCAGCTCCATGCTGCTTTCAAAGCTTGGAATGGCAGATGCAGACGTGCTCTCCTGCATGCTTCTGAAGAGGCAGGCAATTTTCTTTCAGCCGAGTCCTCCCGAGTCAGAAAAATCAGTGAAAGGCTGGCAGGAATCGGTTCACTGGTGAGATTATTCTCGTGCTCTTTATACCTCCTCACTGTAAAAGAGGTGATGGTTTCAGGCTTTGATATCATTGGCCTCAATTTCGTTGTCTGTAAGAGGGAGACAGCAGTGAGAAAGGACTCAGGGAAGAAAGATCATTCTTGATTTTAATTTTAATAACTGCATATTAAATCCAAATGTCAGTGACTTGTCTAATAGAAATAGCTTGTCCATATTTAGTTAGCATGTGAGTCTGTTATTACTTATACAAATCAAGAAAGGTATTGGCCCCTGTTTTACGGCAGGAGGCATGTTTCCTAGAGGGCTTCACCAGGCAATTTCTCCACAACCCGTAGTGTCATTTCAGAAGCATCATTATCACCTGATTTTAAGAGAGAGTTCCCTCACGTCCTAGAGACGTATAGAGCTGCGAGGGTCTCCTTTATGGATTCTGTGTTTTGTAGGCATTTTAATTACATTTTATACCAGTTCCAGTCCTCTTAGAAGAAGGACAAAGGACATCTCTTTCTCCAAGATTGGACAGAAGGAAGGAAAATGGCTAAAGACATGCTTTGAGGTCAAGAGGAAGGAAGTAGAAGTGAAGCAGGAGAAGGGGAGGTCATTGTGCCTGGGTTAGGCCTGTTCGCCATCCAATGCCTTTTCTGCCCTCCCCTGTTTCACAGGCTGCCTTGTCAGCTGACTTCTGGCTGGGTTTAATGTGAGGTCCCTGAGGGCGGAGTAGAAGGTGAGAAAATGGGAGAAAACAAGGTAATTCATTTTCGCTCCCGGTAGCTGCATCTTCTCTGAGGCTCCATCTCCTGCCAGGTAAGCCTGGCCCCTGGGCCCCAGTCGTGTCACCTCTTCCACTGGTCCCTGCAGCCTAAGGAGGCCATGGCCTCTGTCATATTGTTAATTTCTGGGTTATCTCACCAACTCCTGTTTGGCTTCCTGGCCTTTCTATCACCTGTATAAGCCATTTTCTACATTGAATTTTTTCTGTTTGAAATCTTTAGAGTGTTTTCTGTTTTCCTGGTTGGTCCCTGACTGATGCCGTCACCCATAGGGGAAATCAGGAATAAGTTGAAGTATTCTGAGAAAAATTTAGAACAAGCATTGTGGAGAACAAAGAGGACAGTGGTCCTCAATCATTAATGTCATAGGATTCACATGGGGGTATTGTTAAACATGCACGCTCTGAGGCAGTAGTTCCAGGAAGGGCCTTAGATTTTGCATTTCTTATAAGTACATAGGTGATGCTGGTGATGCTGGTCCGTGGGCAACATCTTTTTTTTTTTTTTTTTTTGCGGTACGCGGGCCTCTCACTGTTGTGGCCTCTCCCGTTGCGGAGCACAGGCTCCGGACGCAAAGGCTCAGCGGCCATGGCTCACGGGCCCAGCCGCTCCGCGGCACATGGGATCCTCCCGGACCGGGGCACGAACCCGTGTCCCCTGCATCGGCAGGCAGACTCTCAACCACCGCGCCACCAGGGAAGCCCATGGGCAACATCTTGAGTTGCAGAGAAATAGGGAATTAGGAGAGGATGAATGAAAGTGCATGAACTGCTCTGAGAGCCCAGTTAATAACTTAGTCTGAATTCGTAAGGACCCTGCCAACATTGTTGAGTAACCTTCTCCAGCCACTGTCAGCATGTTGGGAGGAAAGGCAGATAGGGCAGACGTGAGAGTGGGCCCCACAGATTGGCACATGGTAGAACACCAAGGAGTCAAGATTCTAAAACATGAGGGAAAGCAACCCTGAGATGCCCCATTATAGACATGAGGCTCTGTAATGGGTCGGGTTGGATCAATGATCTGAGAAAGGTCAAAAGATTAGCGGAAATGATGTGGCTTGAAATAAGCTTCAATAGGTACAAAAGAAAACAAGAGGGAAAGGTAAAGCGTTGGTTACCTGAGGGAAGCTGAGTCTGGATTCTCGGCAAAGGAAAAATTTCGAGCGACAATGAATGACATCTCCTTTGTGACAATTACAGGAAATATAGTTGAGTGGAGCTGAAGATCAATGGGCTTGAGGCAGTAGAAAAATTGTAAAGTCAGAGAACAAAAGACAGGATCACTTAAATGTGAGAGGTAAAGTCTTCGAGTTAGAGGGGGAGCTCAGGGGAGTAAGATTACGTATGAGGTCAAAGCTGCCCACAAGCTTGTAGAGTGCAGGCGAATCTGAGGTCCAAGAGCCTCTGACACTGGCATTCTGCGTGCCTATGCATACCCATGCATACCTGGTGGGGTTTTTTTTCTTTAGAAGTTCCAGATTCTTAAAGGGATCTGTGACCTCACAAAAGTTTAGAAATCACTGCTGAGAGCAGTTGTGTGAGCCACGTTGGTCATCACCAAGGAACAGCAAAGTTTGTCGTGAGGGACCCTTGAGAAAGAAAGAAGAGGGTAGAGTAACTTCTCTTACGTGGATTTCAAAAGAAAATTGTCGTGGCCAATAATCGTCAATGGCTTCTAACCACCAGGTGAAAGACCAAAGAGTTAATTGCTAATAGATCAACCAGGCCAGCAGCACCTGAACCCACTAGTCAATCAGATCAAACAAGAGACAAATATTATGTGCCTCCTGGTGTGATTAATATGAAGCACTGTCAATGAAATACTCTTGCCCAAACAATCTTACCTGAACCACTGGGTTTAACTCCCTGCTAATAGAAACAGGTTAAACACACCACTAGGAGGCAATCACCAAGATCCAGAATCGGAGAGACTCTACAGGACCAGCGACCCAGCATTTTTCAACAAATAAATGGCAGGAATAAAAACATAGATGGGGAACTACTATTATAGATTTAGAAAGACTTAAGAGACGTACAATCCAAATACTGTGTGTGAGTCTTAATTGTATCCTGACTCAAATGAAAAAGACACTGATCAGACAACTGGGGAAATTTGAGTAATGACTGGATATTTGGTGGTATTTAGGTGCTATGAGATATTATGAGATTTTAATTTTTTATTATTTATTTTATTGAAGTACAGTTGAGTTACAATGTTGTGTTACTTTCTGGTATACAGCAAAGTGATTTGGTTATACATATATATATATATATATTCTTTTTCAGATTCTTTTCCATTATAAGTTATTCCAAGGTATTGAATATAGTTCCCTGGGCTATACAGTAGGAACTTGTGGTTTATTTTATATATAATAGTGTGTATCTGTTAATCCCAAACTCCTAATTTATCCCTCTCATTATCCCTAATTTTTATTATCTCTCATTATCCCTAAAATTATCCCTAATTTTCCCACTTTGGAAACCATGTTTGTTTTCTATGTTTGTGAGTCTGTTTCTGTTTTGCAAATAAGTTCACTTGTATCATTTTTTTTAGTTTCCACATATAAGTGAAATCATATGACATTTGTCTTTCTCTATCTGACTTCACTTAGTATGACAATCTCTAGGTCCATTCATGTTGCTGCAAATGACATTACTGCATTCTTTTTTATGGCTGAATAATATTCCATTGTATATGTATACCACATCTTCTTTATCCATTTGTCTGTCGATGGACATTTAGGTTGCTTCCATGTCTTGGCTATTGTATAATAAGTAGTTCTACAATGAACACTGGGGTGCATATATCCTTTCGAAGTATGGTTTTCTCCGGATATATGCCTAATAGTGGAATTGCTGGATCACATGATAGCTCTATTTTTAGTTTTTTAAAGAACGTCCATATTGTTCTCCACAGTGGCTGTACAAATTTACATTCCCACCAACAGTGTAGGAGGGTTCCCTTTTCTCCACACCCTGTCCAGCATTTATTGTTTGTAGATTTTTTAAAATTAATTAATTAATTAATTTTTATTTTTGGCTGTGTTGGGTCGTCGTTTCTGTGTGAGGGCTTTCTCTAGTTGCAGCGAGGGCGGGCCACTCTTCATTGTGGTGCGTGGGCCTCCCACTGTCGTGGCCTCTCTTGTTGAGGAGCACAGGCTCCAGACGCGCAGGCTCAGTAGTTGTGGCTCACGGGCCCAGTTGCTCCGCGGCATGTGGGATCTTCCCAGACCAGGGCTCAAACCCGTGTCCCCTGCATTGGCAGGCAGATTCTCAACCACTGCGCCACCAGGGAAGCCCAGTTTGTAGATTTTTTGATGATAGCCCTTCTGACTGGTGTGAGGTGATACCATACTTCATTGTAGTTTTGATTTGCATTTCTCATATAATTAGCAATGTTGAGCACTTCTTCATGTGCCTGTTGGCCATCTGTATGTCTCCTTTGGTGAAATGTCTGTTTAGGCCTTTTGCCCATTTTTTGATTGGGTTGTTTGTTTTTTTGATATTGAGCTGTATGAGCTGTTTGTATATTTGGGAAATTAAGCCCTTGTCGGTCACATCATTTGCAAATATTTTCTCCCATTTTGTAGGTTGTCTTTTCATTTTGTTTATGGTTTCCTTTGCTGTAAAAAAAGCTTTTAAGTTTGATTAGGTCCCATTAATGTATTTTTGCTTTTATTTCTTTTGCCTTGGGAGACTGACCTAAGAAAACATTACT